CCAGCGCACAAGTTCCCCGACAGCGACTTCAACGAGGTCCTGCAGGTCAACCTCAACGCCGTCTTCACCGTGACGCGCGACATTGGTGCCCACATGCTCGAGCTCGAGCCCGACGCCGTGACCGGCAGGCGGGGAAGCATCATCAGCTACGCCTCGCTGCTGTCCTTCCAAGGCGGTTTCACAGTGCCGGCGTACGCCGCCTCCAAGGGCGCCGTCGCCCAGTTGACCAAGAGCTTCGCCAACGAGTGGACATCCAAGGGTGTGACCGTCAACGCCATCGCGCCGGGTTACATCGAGACTGATATGAACGAGGCTCTGCTGGCGGACAAAGAGCGCCTCGCCAGCATCAGCGCGCGCATCCCCGCCGGTCGTTGGGGATCGCCCGAAGACTTCCAGGGTACGACGGTGTACCTGGCTAGTCGTGCGAGTGGCTACGTCAGCGGGCATACGCTGGTCGTTGACGGCGGCTGGATGGGAAGGTAATCTCGGACAAGTCAAATGGATGAGGCACTGCGTGAAGCTATTTGCGTTAATGATACAACTAATACCACTCCACCGCCAAAACACCAGCTGCTCTTGCCCACAATGACCTTGCCAGTATCCATCTCAAGCTTTGAAAGCCATGACCTTCTCCATCCAAGGGTATACAGACCCATTGGCCATCGGGTATCCCATGTGCAACGCTCCCGGGAAGAACCTGTCGTGTATCAGCGTTGTGCACCATGCATCTCCGTTCTGGACACGCCACCTACCTAGCCTCTTTTGGCGTTCCGTACTCAAACAGCATGATGGAATCCTCGATTGGCATCAAGCCGTCTTGCGTACCCTGAGAAAGTTAGCTGGCCGTTCTCCTACGATCGCACAAAGTCACTAACGTTGATCAAAAGGAGCCTGGTTGAAGGCTGCTGTATGATTCCTGTGTCAAGAAGCGAGAACTTCTTTTGCACCCCCGTCTTGTACTCCGCCACAGTCTCGTAACCGTGCTTCATAGCCATAGCCGGCGTCAATCTGCGTTGAGTGGTCAGTAATGGACATATCCATAACGAGCCCGCATGGGAGGCAACTCACCGAAACGGATACTCGTGCCCATCGGCCTTGTCCAACCACTCTTCATCGAAAGAGTAATGGCACCCGGCTCCCTGCGCAATCGAACCGATGAGCCGCTCCTTGTGCGTGTGCGCGATGCGAACAGCATAGTAGCCACCCGAACTGAGCCCCCAGACCATCACCTTGCCCATATCGAACCGGCCGTCCGCTGCCATCCAGTCGAGCACACTGCTCCACAACCGATCAGGGCTGTCTGGGTCAGCCGAATCAGCAGGGCAGTCTGCTGTGCCCGGGATCTCGACAACGACACTGCCCCATCCTCGTGACAAGAACTCGTCGCAACGCAGCGTATTGTCGGGCCTGTAGCCATCCAGACCAGTCATGAGCAAGACGACGGGACAGGGCTGGCGCCGAGAACTCAAAGATCTGGGCAGGCGGACATATACCGGTATGTTCGCCCTGTCGCGCCCCTGCTTGTGCATGTGCGGGATCTCAACCTCTTCCACGGGGCACTCCCACGCGCTGGCAGCTTTGAGATACGTCTCCTTCTGCCACTGCCACGCCTTCCACTTGATGGGGCAGCTGATATCTGGGAAGGCTGTAATGTAGGGAAAACGAGCGATGCGGTAAAGAGCACAAGCGCGAAGGTAAAGCTGGCTTGCCTGCTTCGGGTCGCCAGCCGATGCGGCCTTGTCACCCCTGGCAATGAGACGGGCAGCGTTGGGAAAGAAAGCTTCAGTATACGCCCTCGAAGTGCCATCGTTTATATTGTACTATCACGGGATCAGCTCGGTAACAAGACGCCAACTTTATGGTGCTATTTACGCTTATGAGGTGCTCAAAGACATCCACAAAGTCTTCATACTGGCCGTCATGGAAAGGGTACACACTTTTGGTGCACTAATTGAGTTGGTCAGCGGCTCTGGAGAATATAGAGCCTCAGTGGCCTTACTGGAAATCTCCATTTGGTCTCCCACAGGGCTTTGATGCCTTCGTGATGTGGCATTCTCGTCTCGAACGCTTCCTTCCCCATGAGCCACGCCCTGCCCTCGGGCTCGGGCTCTTTGGCGGTTCCGTACGGCATACTGAGAAGCCTGTTTCAGGATTATGAGACGACTCGGACGATTCTGTGTTTTTTGAACACAGGAGTCTTGCACCTTCGCTGCACAACGGTCACCCTGTTGCTACGGCGGCGTCGAGCAATGTGCGGCTGGTGGCTGTCGCTGATGACCCTGGACCTCCATCAGCAATGCACATCATTTGGTATGCATGCAAAAGTCTGCATGCAGCTGCGACGTACTGGGATTTGAGAGAAGCGATGCGCAGTCGAGCGAGCGACCTGGCTATGTCCTCCAACATGGTGTGCGAGACGATTCGGATGTGTCTGATTATATGTAGGCCAATGGCGTTTGCCCAGACAGATAACAGCTTGGCTAGACTGCATGACAGACTTTCCATTGCAGAGACAAAATAGTTTCATTATAGGCTCGGAGAGGTGCGCTGCGTCGGACAATTCAGGTTGGGGATATCCGGAAGTGTCCGGGGCAGCTGAGATCAGCCGTGACATCTGATGCTGGTAATCTAGCAGCCCAAAACAGGCGTGTCATTGGGTTGAAGACCAGAAGAGACATGTGAAAGCGCTAATCATGCGACATGACTACATTGTCTGAGCCAACTGAAGCATGTGTTGGAGGAGTTCCGATGGGGAGGTTACGCAACCAGGCACGCTCCGTGGTTCAATACTTCAACCCAGGCGCTGTATGTAGTCCAACGAGGCGTCAGCCGAATGCTTTGGCGCCGCTCCAACCGCACAGCTGAGGGATAAGTGGCATGAGGAATAGTGGCAGCCCATACGTCAGCCTCGGCGTTCGACCTCAGGGAGCAACACGAACAAGGACTACAAAAGCCTCGCCATGACCGGCCAGCGATTTCCATGTGACTTTCCCTGTCGTCGTGGGCGCGTCGAACACATCATGCAAGACCCGACAAGTTGCACTGGGTTCAAGTTTGATCGTCTATTCATTTTCGTCGCTCTCCACGCCCCGTCGTAGGAAATCTTCCTCTATATTTTCGAGCCTGCAGATGCCCGAGATCAGTCGTGAAACGCCGAACAGGGTTTACGAGTGTCTAATATGTGATGGCCAGATGACAGAAAGAGAAAGCCAAGCATGTAAATGGCATGAAAAACGTATGGTCGCACGGCAAGAACAACAGGCCGTGTCTAGGATGCCTTACTCTTGTCTCCCTCGTAGTAGTGGGCCATCTCGAGGCCGGCCCGCCTGAAGCCACACTTGACGTAGAAGCCCTCGTTGGCCTCGCTGCAGTCGAGAATGCTCTTGTAGCAGCCGACCTTCTCGGCGATGAAGTCCAGGGCCTGGATGATCCGCAGGCCGAGCTTCTTGCCCTGCTGGTCCTTGGCGACCGCAATGTCCTCGATATGGCCGACGAGGCCCAAGCTGTGGATGCTGTTGGGGGATGGCGGTCAGCACCAAAGAATTACGCGGGAAAGAAAAAAAAAAAAAAGAAAAGAGCTAGCTGGCTGCTCACAATTTACGCTCTACGATCAAAGCACCGGTGCCAACGACGGCTCCCCTGCTGGTGTCCTCCACCACCAGGATATAGTACCCGTCTTGCGATTGCAGCCAGTCGTAGCGCTCGCCGAACTTGTCGTCACTGATCTCGCCGACGGTGGTCAGGACGCGAAGGCAGTCGAGAAAGCCCGTGTCGTAGTCGGACTTGCGCAGGGCTCGCAGAATATAGCCCTCAGGGAGCGATGCCGCGACAGTGGGCGACAGGAGATGGTGGGAGAAAAGGCCTGCCGTGGACGACATGGTGATTGTTATGGGCTGGCGTAGGCGGAGAGGGGCGTCGTGGTTGGTGTTGAGGGGCAATTCGAGTCGGTGAAGCGTACTCAAGGTGCTCAAAAACGAACGTCGAGCTCACGAGTGAGAGTAGCAAGGCGCAGAACGAGACAATGGCAGAGGCAGTCTTGTCAATGAAGGCTGCAGTGTTTGTTGGTAAGTTGGAGGGGGGCTAAAACAGAAAGCAGAAAGCTGGCGCTCCCCTTCCGTCCTCGAGCGATCGTCTCCCCCAGCCCAGCCAGTTGGCCGGATCGAGCGAGCTTGGAGCTGAGCCCGCCAGGACTTCTCTGCCCGCGCCTCAACACACTGACTCTTGGTGGACAAGGACCTGCGCTAAGGGGACTCACGGGTGGGGAGCGCCTGGGCGACCCCTGAAGGGCCCCTGCGGCTCTCCCGCGACAGCACCGACCACCAGGGCACCAGAGCACCAGGGCTGCTCGTCCTATTTATGGCTTCTTATCCAAGCCTTATCTCCAACCATATCAGACACGTTGCCCCACTGCAAATACTGACATGCTATTGCCATGCTTCTCCCCTTCCCTGCCGCCTTGACATCGCCTGTCTCGGAATCACATGTCGAAGCATCACCACCACTTGATTCGAATTCAACCAGTCCAGTGGCAAGCCTTCCATCAACAAGCCCACCCACTCCCCAACGTCACGCAAGAGGACGCTGTGGCTCCATTCGAGGCACCGGGCAGTTGCAGCAGCATGGATCATGGCCTATCACCTTTTCTGTCAACTACTAGTGTAGTACCAGGCAGTTTCTCCAGTCCATACCCTTAACTTGTCTTCGCCAGTAGCATACCTAGGACCTAGGATAGGAGCGTGACGCCTTCGCAATTGGAGAGACTTTCGCCACGATGGAGTCTGGCGATGACCCTGAGACTGAAAAGAAAATCGTCCAGCCATCGTCAACTGGATCAGAACTTGTTCGCATCTCCTCTGAAACACAACCTGGCAGGACGGTCCTTCCCGAACCCGTCGCCAAAGCCATCAGTTTGGCCACCCGATCCAGCAGTCTCGCGCTTCGTGTTGGAACTCTCATCACTTCGTATGGGTTCGATGCCGCCAAATTCACGACCTTGTCGAGCCTCGAGCTCGGCCGTGGCATCCTCGAAGGAATCCTCCACCGAGCTGGACAAAATGCCATCGCACGGTCACAGTCCACCTTGGCCCGCGTGGATGCCGAGACTGTCATCGAACGGAGTCTCGAGAGCCTGCACATGGCCATGTCCCAGATCGTGTTCTGGACGACCGCCGGTTTTTATGTCGCTGAAACGACCTTTGCCGCTGGTTCGCAGATAACGCAGCTGCTCCTGTCGTCCTTGGACCAGTTCTTCGGCTCCACAGACTCGTCCCGCGCCATCGCCAGCATCATCACGCTGGTCCGCCGCGAGTTTCAGAACCCAGCAACCGGCCACAGTGGTCAGAAGGTTGGCGTCACCGATCTCGCCATGGGGATCTGTGCATTGGCATATCTTCAGCAGAAGTGCTGGAAACTTCCCGATGAGGAAAGACGCCGAGCGCCCCAGGAGGAAATTGTTTGGGATATTGTCGTGCTCAGCGATGGCGAACGAGTCGACGTCCACGAAGACAGCCTCTATGGCATACACAAGGGTCGTTACGAGCCAAAAGGGCCAGGCATTCTTGTTTCCAAACCTGGACCCTCTCATGGCCCAGACCTCATTGCGACGCTGCAGCGACACGCCAGCCAAGACAGTGGTGACGAGGATGACTATGTCTCCCCCGAAAATCGTCTTCGAGACCAAATCATGCAATCTCTACCCGCCGACACGAGCGTTTCCATCACGACGTCTACACATACGCAGAAGACCATCACTGTTGAATTCACTGGCGCCGAATCGCCTGCACTGTCCCCTCCTCCCGGTGTTGAACTTGTTGAGAGAGAATTCATCCCTGCGGCCGATGCTCAAAGAGACGTATTCTCGAGTACCCCCGGTGCGGTCACCGATCAAATCACGCAACGTGTAGTGTACAAGTTCGACAAGACGATGCTCCGGAGTACGGCCTGTCGAGGCTACGACCAGTCTCCGAAAGTGTCTGGATCAGTGGCCGAGATTGATATTCTTCTTGATGGGCCAGACGGCCCACCTCCACAGCTGCCAGAGCGTCGTCATAAAGCAGCTCTAGAAGCACAACCCCCGATTCCGCCCCGGCGGCACAGCTCAAAAGCTTTCGAGGAACTCGCTACAAGTCCAAGGGTAGAGCAGACCAGCATCCCTCTTGCGGCAGACTCTTCCCACAGACAGACCTTCCGCAAGGTGTCTGACTCCGCAGTCGACGTTGTGAAGTCGCAGACCAATGCCATTTCCGACAACGGTTCAAACCAGAAACGCCAGCGGGCTCCTTTAGGGCCAGTGGGCACGAAGCGCAGCTCCGAACCTTCACTTCAGGCTGAGGAGCCCCTCTCGGCCAAACCGCGATTGACCAAGTCTAAGACTGAGCCAATCAAAGACAGCAAGTTGCCTCCGAAGAAGACGGGGGTGCGACAAGCTCTGAAAAGAGCTCCAGGGTCTAGCATGTCCAGTCTCTGGAGTCGAGATACACCTGATGCAGCTGCCGCGATGGCCCCTTCAATAAATCCAGCCCCCAAACCAAAGCCGGCGTCAACTTTGAAGAAGCTTGTCAACCCAACCAACCTATCCCATCGTCCTTTTAATCGAGCAACAGGACCAACTGTGTCGTCCAATCTCCGCGATAAAGGGTCCTTCGAGGACCCCGCCGAAAATCCGCGCAGCTCATCTCGGGCAGGCTTCATTTCAATTCACGAACGTCGGCGGGATTCGGTTGTATCTCAAACTGATACTTACTCGATGCACTCCATGGACAGTCTAAGGCCGGACTCACCCATGCTTGCCCGGCGATCACCAAGCGCCTTGGGCAAGACGTTTCCAGAGTATGATGCAGGTGACTTTGGCTCCCCCGCCTCACCTAGAGCCAACCGCATGAGGCAGAGAGGGCACACTCCCAGCACCAGCCTCTACAGCATAGCAACGAATGGTTCGCAAACCTCCCTGGTCTTGGCAGCGAGGCATCCGAAAAGTGCCTACACAGATTCGGAGGCCATCGAAACGTTGCGACGTGCCGGCGTTGTAGATGGAATGTTCCCAGCAAAACATCTACTTCACAACATCACACGCTTCATGCTTTACTCATCTGCCGCATATGGGTCGGGATTCCTCAAGTTCATGAGGATCTCAAGGAACCTACCTATCCTCAAAGCCATGGACGAGACGCACCATGAAATACGATCATTTGCTCATCACACGGAGTCCAAGGCTGAAGACGTTCTCATGGCGTCTTTCGTCGATTCTCATGGCGGGTCCGACACGACAGGTGCAACTGGTACCGGGGTGCCCCTAGTTCACTACATATCTCTCGATCATGAATCCAAAGCAGTAGTGCTGGCTTGCCGAGGCACGTTGGGCTTCGAAGACGTCCTGGCTGATCTAGCTTGCGACTACGATGACATGTCGTGGCGTGGGAAGTCATATCAAGTTCACAAAGGCGTGCACGCATCAGCACGACGACTTCTTTACGGCGGCGACGGCCGAGTCTGTACACGCTCAAAGAAGCGCTCGACGAGTTTAGCGACTACGGCCTCATCCTCTGCGGCCACTCCTTAGGGGGCGCCGTGACAGCCCTTCTGGGCACCATGCTCGCCGAGCCGAGTCCGACTGGCACGGGGTTCGTGACCTCTGCCGAACCACACCACCGCCTACTCACATACGAGTCCTCAGCCACAGCGGGTTCCGGTGGTACGACGCCCGTCTGCCTCCCCTCAGGCCGGCCCATACACGTCTATGCCTACGGCCCGCCGGGCACAATGTCTCCCGCCCTGCGCAAGGCCACGCGTGGCCTCATCACAAGTATCGTCCACGGCCACGACCTCGTACCGTACCTCTCGCTCGGCGTCTTGCATGACTTTCAGGCGGTGGCGCTCGCCTTCCAGAGCGACAGCACCGACGCCTCCCGTATTGAGGCCCGCCGGCGCGTCTGGCAGGCTTTCCAGCACGGACTGGCCGACAAGTGGTACGCCACCTCGACCGCCAGCTTGCCCGAGAACGACCAGTGGGCTCTGACGGCGTTGGGCTCCCTGCGGAGGAGCATAGTCGGCACCAAGCTCGTGCCGCCAGGGGAGGTATTTGTCGTCGAGAGCTCGAAAGTGTTGCGGAGAGATGCCTTTGTGCTCGCTGAGGAGGTGGATATCGGGCAGCCGGCGAAGAGAGTCGTTCTCAAATACATCCGGGACGTCGAGGCGCGATTTGGCGAGGTTCGGTTCGGGACTAGCATGTTGATGGATCACAGTCCGGCCAAGTATGAGGAGGCGCTGCGGAAGTTGCGGCTCGGGGTGGTCGACGCAGGATACTAGTTGGCAAGACGAGGTGTATGTTTGTTAGGATTACCTAGGTAGTATGCCACGACACTCGCGCGACCGGTGTCCTGGCTAGGTTAGTTAGCAGCGCCGCTCTAGCTCACCCCGAAATCACCCGTGCTCAGTGCTGCTCAGGATTTAAATCACCTCCATCACCCCCTTCGACCGAATGCAGACCAGCCGTCCACTCAAACCCAACATCACCTCGCTCTTTTGCCAACTTCGTCAACTTTACGCGACTCGCACAGTGGACGGGCTTTCCGCCGCTGCCGCCCGCAAAAGAGGCATGAGCGGGCCGCCTAGGGGGAGCCTGGCTCTGGCACCCTCCATCCCCTCCAATGGTTGCGTAAGGGCGCCCGTTGCCCGGCTTCCGCCCAATTCTCGGTAGAATCTACTGCTGCTACTGCTGCTGCTTTTTCTAGTTGGATCATGCTCCCGAGGGGTGTACCGCTGCGGTCCCGTGGCTATGAATGCCGCGACCGCACGCATTCGTTCCTAACTACTTCGTTCATACTTAACCTCTATCGCTCCTCTTCCTACTATTCATTTCGCGCGAGCGGTTAGACATTGTTTTCATTTACTTCGCTTGTCTTATTTTATAGAGCCTAGTATTAAGACTATTTAGGTTTTTATTAGAATAATTACCCTTTATAGCTTCTTTTTCTTTAATAATTATTAATATATATTTAATAATAATATATAATTTTTTATATTTTATATCCTTTATTAATTAACTATATAGTTAAATAATTAAAGAAAAGAAAAGGGAATAGAGTTTATTAATTAATTATTTTTATCTTAAATATTTAAAAACTTTATAATAAGCTTTAATATTTTTATTAGTTTAAAGATAATAATTATTAAAGCTATAAATATTAGAAATAGAGATTATAGAAGTCTATATCTATTTATAAAAGTATTTAAAAGTATTAATATATATTAGAGGACAACGTAGGTAATAACTAAGGGTATTACTTAGTTATAGGGGGAAGAGATAATAATAGATAAAGGAATAAGAGGAAAGTAGAGATAAAAGTGGTTATATCTTAAGAAGGAGGCATTAGATCGAGAAATAGATTAAAGATTCTTATAGCCCTTAATAAGAGCTATAAAATAGTATATTTTTCGTTTAGATTAAAGGTAAGTAGGTAAAGGGGTAATTAAGAAGAAGGTTATAATTAATTAAGAGAAGTACTTAACTTAATCCTAATAGGAGTAAGGCGTATCTTAAGAGGTATCTATTTATAATAATTAAGAACGTATAAATTAGATAGGAATTACTATATAAGGGGGACTTATAAATATAATTAGAATTAGATAATTATTAAGATCTAAAAACCTAAAATAATAGATCTAGGGGGTACCCTCTATATATAATAGACTAACCCTTAGTGGCTATGAGTGGATAAGGCGCTTAGACTACCTCTAGACCTACGGGGAAGTAGAGTCGGATTTTAAGCTCTAGCTAATAGGGTATAAGAGAACTTAAACGCTTTAAACGCTTATTATTATAGAATAGCTTTATAGAATAGTATAAAGATTATACTATTCTATAGCTACGACTTTTCTCTATTTTATTATATATATATTATTATAGTTTAGCTTTTATTTAAGTTACTAGAGTAATTATAAGACTCTAACCCTTATAACTCCTATATTATATAAAAGGGACTTATTATTAAGAGGGCTTTACTACTTATATAAACCCTAATCTAGTACTTCCGCTATACTTGCGAGCTCTAAATAGGTAGGGTATCTAATAAGTCTTATAATAGTTAATTCTTATCTACTTCTCTAAATTACTATTACCTATATAAGTTAGATATACCTATCTACTCTTAGCGATTACGTAAGCTATAGTTTATATACTCCTAAGAGTAATAGATCCTAGATATCCTAGATATTATTATCCTAATTATAGAGTTCCTTAATATTAGTTTAATACTAGCTCTTCTTTTCTTTATAAATAGAATAGCTATAAGAACTAATATTAGGAGCTATTACTAGGGTTAATAGCTACTCTAATACGCCTATAAGTCTCTAGTCTCTAGCGTATTAGATCTATTCTCTTAGCTTTAAAGTAAATAACTTAATAATAGGAAATAATAGGAAATAATAATTAAGAATAAAGAGAGTATAGCTTAAACCTATTATTCCTATAAATATTAAGCCTCTAATTCTTAATATTTTAGAGTAATAGTATTATCTATAAATAGCTCTCTAAGGAAATAAATTAAATTATAATTTAAATAATAGGAATAAGCCTCTAAATCCTAAAAATAAAGGAAATAAATTAAAATCTAATAATAAATAGTATTCTTATAATTACTAAATATATATTCCTAAAGCCTTTAAATCTTTAATATATTAATAGAATATAATAGAATAATTATTAGCTTTTTATAGAA